CCAGAGACTTGTAGAGGAAGAGTCAAACTTTGGGGACTCACCCATGCACCAGAGGGCCAAGGCAGCAGGAGGCAAGAAGCCTGGGCGAGCTGGGCTCCTCCATGCCTGGCAGAAGATGAGGTGCAGAGGCGAGAGGTGGGCAAGCAGATGAGGCACTCAGCCAGCCACACAAGCTGCATGCAAAGAAACTCCCACCGCCCCAAGCTTCAGGGCTGCCTCGTTAAAGGAGTGTGGAGGCCAGACTCGCAAATGAGAAAAGGCAAGCTCAGGGTTCGTGGGTCGCATTTTGGGCTGTGGAAGAGGAACCGGCTCCATTCCTGGAGTTCTCTCAAGTTCCTGCGCTTTTGGTTTTGCTTTTTGCCAATCCGCCTCCCAAGACTGCTCCAGGTGCTCTGGCCTGAGGGCTGCTGGGGCTTCCCGCAGTTCGGCCCCATTATATCCTATGGGCCATTGAAGTCAATGGCGAAAACATCGGGTATATTCTGGGGGCTGGAGGGAAGGGGGTTTGAGGGAGAGGCTCCAAAATCGCAGGGTAGCTGCTGGAGCCTCTCCCCAAGATACCCGCCATGTTTCAGGAACATTGAACCAGGGGGTCCAATTCTACGGCCCCCCAAACAGGTTGCCCCATCCCCTCCATTGTTCTCTATGGTGGGAAAAATAACTTTTTTCCCATCATAGAGAACAATGGAGGGAATAGGCCGTCAGCGCCTACAGCGGAAGAGCCACACTCAAGGGGCCAAAGAGCCGCATGTGGCTCTTGAGCCGCAGTTTGCCTACCTAGCCAATGAAGATTTTATAGGTAAAAATGTGTTCACTTGTCCTCTAAACCTTATATTACAATTTAATTCTGGGGCTTTCATGGTTTCTAGAATACCAGAAATTCCCAAACCAAACTAAAGGACTGGCAAGCAAATACCAAATCCAGCAAACCTAGGAAATTAATGACAGAGCAAAAGCTGGGAAATTTGGGATGGCATCAGACAGGGTTGCCAGCTTTTGGGATTTGATTAGGAGCCTGTTTTTTTTTTTGGGGGGGGGGTTAATTTCAGAAAAGGATTACTTATTCTTCCTGCTTTTTCAACTCCAACTTTTGTAAACTGAAAACCAATAGTGAGCAATTCCAGAAGAAGGAAATTTGTATGTTGGGGAACTCTTGTGGAAATGAGTATCAGGGCAGTGAGGGGAAAAATAAGACAACCTTAGGTGAGGTTTTATAGTCTTGTTCTTTCAGTTTTCTGCTTAAAAACAATGGGGGTGGGTGGGTGAAAACAACACCACAATGACTTGAGGAGGTTACATCTAAATTGGATGGAGAAGTCTAAAGATGACAAGTTAGATTCCATAACTGAGTATACATACCTAGAATTTGCACAGGAAGGCAAACTTGAATAACATATCAAAGATTAACTCATTGTTTCTTTTTAATAGTGTCAGTGAGATGCATCTGTCACACACCAACCAGACCAACCAATCCATTGCCTCTGAATTCATCTTCCAGGCATTCTCTTCCATTCCTGAGATACAACATCTTCTATTCACATTCTTCCTTCTGCTCTATTTCACAATTATCCTTGGTAATGTGTCTATCATCTGGGTAATCTGCTCTGACCAGTCCCTTCACACTCCCATGTATTTCTTCTTAGGCAATCTCTCTTTTTTAGAGATCTGTTACACCACTGTGGTAGTGCCTCAAATGCTGGCCAGTGTTTTAGATGTCCACAGAACAATCCCCATTATAAATTGTGCCCTCCAGATGTTCTTCTTTACAACACTAGGCAGCACTGATTGCTTCATGTTGGCTGTTATGGCATATGACCGTTATGTGGCCATCTGTCACCCACTTCGCTACATCCTGATCATGACTTGGAAGATGTGTGCAAGGTTGGTTGTTGGCTGTCTAGTGCTTTCCTTTGTACTGTGCCTGGAACTTACTCTTATGATTTTCACCTTGCCATTTTGTGGTCACCAGCCTCAAATCAACCATTTCCTGTGTGACGTGCCTCCTGTGCTGCGATTGGCATGTGCTGACACTCATATCCATCAGAATGTGTTATACAGTGTTGGTATCATGGTGCTTGCTGTCCCCTTCCTTCTGATAAGCATTTCCTACATCTACATTGTGGCTGCCCTCCTGCGGATCCGTTCTACATTTGGTCGGCATCAGGCCTTCTCCACCTGTTCCTCCCACTTGACAGTGGTTATCCTGCAGTACGGCTGTTGCAGTCTTGTTTACTTGCGTCCAAAGTCAAGCTCTTCAGAAGAAGAGGACCGGCAACTTGCTCTCATATACACTTTCATTACTCCATTGCTGAACCCACTCATCTACAGCCTGAGGAACAAGGATGTCAAGCAGGCCCTGAAGAAAGCCATGAGGAGGACTGCTGCGTCCCAGCCAAATGAAGTCTGATTCCCACATTCTTTAAAACTCAGGCTCCAAATCGATGGTGGATGTCTGATTAGTGTGTGTAATTTATTCTTTAGAAAATTTATATGAAGTTTGATCGTCCCAACGCAAAACCTGTGCGAGAGCATCCATTGCAGCAATGGGTGTGTAGCTGCGATTGCCGGACAAAGGTGGGGGGGACAGCAGACCCCATTCAATACATCAAGATAACCAACACCATGAGTAAGCTTTAAATGTACTAAGATCAGAAACTCTTCTATCAGCCGAGCCCTTTAAATTCTACACTTTAAAAGTTAAGGGAAGGGAGGGTAGAGGGATCCCCCCCCCCTCTACTGAAGCGACTAGAAGGAGAATAAGAAAATAACTTTCTAAATAAAAATTTGGGTGAAAGAAGCAGCAGCTAACTGTATTAACTAAATAACATACTGTGGATTACAAATATACTTAAAATCTCCCTTTTATTGGATTACAATTTATTTTGCTGAAGTTTTCCTCTCACTGAAATTAAAAGAAGATTGTTTTTTACTAAAGTTTCCCATTAATGGAATTATAAGTAACTCATGGATCACTGCCTTGTCGTGGCGAGGGGGCTTGCGTAGTTCAATGAAGCTGTGGGCTATGCCGTGAAGGGCCACCCAAGACGGACAGGCCACAGCAGAGAACTCAGACCAAGCGTGATCCACCTGGAGAAGGAAATGGCAACCCACTCCAGTATTTTTGCCAAGAAAACCCCATGGACAGTATCAAAAGGCTAAAAGATATGACGCCGGAAGATGAGCCCCTCAGGTCGGAAGGTGTCCAATATGCTACTGAGGAAGAGCAGAGGACAAGTACAAGTAACCCCAGAAAGAGTGAAGCGGCTGGGCCAAAGCCGAAAGGACGCTCAGTTGTGGATGTGTCTGATGGTGAAAGGAAAGTCCGATGCTGCAAAGAACAATACTGCATAGGAACCTGGAATGTAAGATCTATGAATCAAGGTAAGCTTGACGTGGTCAAAAATGAGATGGCAAGACTGAACATCGATATCTTAGGAATCAGTGAACTAAAGTGGACAGGAATGGGCGAATTTAACTCAGAAGACCATTATATCTACTACTGTGGCCAGGAATCTCGTAGAAAAAATGGTGTGGCCTTTATAGTCAACAAGAGAGTGCAAAAGGCAGTACTGGGATACAATCTCAAAAATGACAGAATGATTTCTGTCCGATTCCAAGGCAAACCATTCAACATCACAGTAATTCAAGTGTATGCCCCAACCACTGATGCAGAAGAGGCTGAAGTGGACCGGTTCTATGAAGACCTACAACACCTCCTAGAACTAACACCAAAAAATGATGTCCTCATCATCATAGGGGACTGGAATGCTAAAGTAGGAAGTCAAAAGGTAACTGGAATAACAGACAAGTTTGGCCTTGGAAAGCAAAATGAAGCAGGGCAAAGGTTAACAGAGTTTTGTCAAGAGAACACACTGGTCATAGCGAACACCCTTTTCCAACAACCTAAGAGGCGACTCTACACATGGACATCACCAGATGGGCAACACCGAAATCAGATTGACTATATAATTTGCAGTCAAAGATGGAGAAGCTCTATCCAGTCAGTAAAAACAAGACCTGGAGCTGACTGTGGTTCAGATCATGAGCTACTCATTGCAAAATTCAGACTTAAACTGAAGAAAATCGGGAAAACCATGAGGCCATTCAGGTTTGACCTAGATCACATCCCTGATGAATATACAGTAGAGGTGAAGAATAGATTCAAGGGTCTGGATTTGATAGATAGAGTGCCTGAAGAACTATGGACAGAGGTTCGTGACATCGTACAGGAGGCAGCAATCACCACCATCCCAAAGAAAAAGAAATGTAAGAAAGCAAAGTGGCTTTCTGATGAGGCTTTACAAATAGCAGAGGAAAGAAGGAAAGCGAAAGGCAAAGGCGAAAAGGAAAGATTTACCCAACTGAACGCAGATTTCCAGAGAACAGCAAGGAGAGATAAGGAGGCCTTCCTGAATGAACAGTGCAAAGTAATAGAAGAAAACAATAGAATGGGAAGGACTAGAGATCTCTTCAAGAAAATTGGAGAAATCAAGGGAGCGTTCCATGCAAAGCTGGCCATGATAAAGGACAAAAACGGTAGGGACCTAACAGAAGCAGAAGAGATTAGGAAAAGATGGCAAGAATACACAGAAGAACTATACAAGAAAGACCTCGATGTCCTTGACAACCACGACGGTATAATCACTGACCTCGAGCCAGACATCCTGGAATGTGAAGTTAAATGGGCCTTAGAAAGCATTACTAACAACAAAGCTAGTGGAGGTGATGGTATTCCAGCTGAGCTATTCAAAGTCTTAGAAGATGATGCTGTTAAAGTTCTGCACTCCATTTGCCAGCAAATTTGGAAAACGCAACAGTGGCCACAGGATTGGAAAAGATCAGTATACATTCCAATCCCAAAGAAGGGCAATGCCAAGGAATGTTCAAACTATCGCACAATTGCACTCATATCACACGCTAGCAAGGTCATGCTCAAGATCCTACAAGCTAGGCTTCAACAGTACGTGGATAGAGAACTACCAGAAGTACAAGCTGGGTTTCGAAGAGGTAGAGGAACTAGAGATCAAATTGCCAACATTCGCTGGATTATGGAGAAAGCAAGAGAGTACCAGAAAAATATCTACTTCTGCTTCATTGACTATGCTAAAGCTTTTGACTGTGTGGATCACAACAAACTATGGCAGGTCCTTAAAGAGATGGGAGTACCAGACCACCTCACATGTCTCTTGAGAAACCTGTATAAGGGCCAAGAAGCGACAGTTAGAACCGGATATGGAACAACTGATTGGTTTAGCATAGGAAAAGGAGTACGACAAGGATGTATACTGTCACCTTGCTTATTTAATATATATGCAGAGTACATCATGCGAAATGCTGGCCTGGATGAATCACAAGCGGGAATTAAGATTGCTGGGGAAAAGATCAACAACCTCAGATATGCAGACGATACCACTCTGATGGCAGAAAGTGAAGAGGACCTCAAGAGCCTCTTGCTCAGGGTAAAAGAGGAGAGCGCAAAAGTGGGCTTGAAGCTCAACATCAAAAAAACTAAGATCATGGCATCCGGCCCCATCACTCCTTGGCAAATAGAAGGGGAAGTCGTGGAAGTAGTGACAGACTTCACGTTCCTGGGATCCCAGATCACCGCAGACTGTGACAGCAGCCATGAAATTAAAAGATTTCCTTGGGAGGAAAGTGATGGCGAACCTAAACAGCATGATAAAAAGTAGAGACATCACCCTGCCAACAAAAGTCCGCATGGTCAAAGCAATGGTATTCCCAGTAGTCATGTATGGCTGTGAGAGTTGGACTATAAGGAAGGCCGAGCGCCGAAGAATAGATTCTTTTGAACTATGGTGCTGGAGGAGACTCTTGAGAGTCCCTTGGACTGCAAGAAGAACAAATCAGTCAATCCTCAAAGAAATCAACCCTGACTGTTCCCTGGAAGGCCAGATAATGAAACTGAAGCTCAAATACTTTGGCCACCAAATGAGAAGGGAGCACTCACTGGAGAAGACCCTGATGCTGGGAAAGATTGAAGGTCAAAGAAGACGGGGACGGCAAAGGATGAGATGGTTGGACAGTGTCATCGATGCAACAAACATGAAACTGAGCAAACTTCAGAGGATAGCGGAAGACAGGAGAGCCTGGCGGGATCTAGTCCATGGGGTCGCGAAGAGTTGGACTCGACTGTGCGACTGAACAACAACAACAAAGTAACTATTTGGAACTATAAGATTACAATTATGATCTGGATTACAAATTAAGCAAGAAAGAAGAAAATAAGGTTGAAATACTAATTAAAATTGACTTTCACTTTCAATGCATCACTTCCCTGTAACATAGACAAATTTGGTAATGTAATGTATTGTCTCTGCTTCTACTGACTGTTCTGTAAACAACAGATAAGATTTGTCGCTGAAGGGAAAGCTTATGTTGATTATTATGACTATAATAATAGTGCAGTGATAACATTAGTAACAGTTTTGTAAACTTTGTGAAACTGACCGTGCTTAGATCTTTGTATGGAAAAACAATCTCAGTGAGATTGTTTGTTTAAAATATCTTAAGATAGTTGTTGTAGACATTAAAGGTTCCTGTGATGCTACCTTTAGGTATTAATTTAGTAGATTTACAGGCCTTAATTCAAGAGACAGTGACCTCAGCTGTGGCAGTGGCGTTAGAAGCAGTTATGAATCCTATACAAGAAAAAATGAACACACTTCTCCAGAAAATGGAATTGCAAATGGAAGAAGGTCAGAGACAAGAAAAGAAACTTGAAGAAACAGACTTTTAATTGGAACCAGTAAAAAAACCCCAAGACTTTAAAGAAGAAACCTTTATAAAAATGGAGCCTGACAAAACAGTCTACATATTAAAATTTCAAAATATTTTTGAATAGAATGTTCAAGATTTAAGAATAACAAAGATCCGAACAACAAAATACATGGATACAGAAAAATTAGAAGAAATCTACGAGATTGAATCTGCCTTCCTTACAACTTCAATGTTTCAAAAGCAAAAATACCTTAAAGACCATGTGGCGATGAAGATACAATTCATATGGCAGAACAGGAGACCAAGAATAAAGCTCAAAGATACATAAAAGAAAGAGCTGGACTGGTACCAACATAGAAGAAGACCTGAAATACTCCTAAAATAAGCAACAATAGACATTAAATTTAAAAACCTCAATGTTTTAAAAATTAAATATCTGAAAAAAGTATAAAGAGCTGGACTGACATTAATACTGAAGAATATGTAATAAGATAAGAAATCTATATATATAAAAGAAAGTCCCCTCACTGTAAAATCAACGCCCAGGCCAAACTGCTGAATTGGACTATAAGGAAGGCCAAGCGCCAAAGAATATATTCTTTTGAACTATGGTGCTGGAGAAGACTCTTGAGAGTCCCTTGGACTGCAAGAAGATCAAATCAGTCAATC